CCCACTCACTGTCATCGATGAAGAAAATATGCGATGATCTTACGACGGACATACCATCAATTTTATGTTCTCGCTGTTCTCGGGGTATCAGCCCACAAAGAGGAAGTATCTCGTTGAGTTCGATCACCTGCCTCACCTGTTCAAGCCATTCCATAAGAACTCTATCACAGATAGACTATCTGTGATGGGGGAAGCTCTGAATCACGACTTTGAGGAGCACAGCGTGTAGCCACTGAGGGCATGCAGTTCGAGATTCAACGTTTCAGCGTTCATACATGATTTGTATTGTGTTCACAAGAGACCCTCTTCGAAGCGCCCCTCTTGCTGCTGACGTGTCGTCTTCCGATGTGTCCGTCGTCGTGGAGTAGTCGTGAAGGGGTCGATGTTGGGCATAATATGGAAGAGCTGATTGTGATTTGTCGGTTCGCATTGCGAGCTTCGCAAATTATTCCTCGAAACTCAGAATAATTGGTTCAGTGGTGGAGCAATGGGTTACAATGCGAGTAGTCACGAGTTCGAATCTTCCTCTGTACATTTCTCCGTCTTCAAATTCATATTCTATTGTGATGTCTAACGTGAAGGGGCTGATAATAGAAGACCTCATTGGTGCTTTTAGGGCCCGCCTGTGGAGGCTAGCGCTTCACTGAAGACAATTGTGAGTTGGTATATGGAGGTGAGAGTGATAACATTCAAAATGGGTTTTGTTGAGTAGGCTAGAATGTAACGGCAGAGACCCGCAGTAGGAATGGCGTATCTTAGGTTCAAGCACGTAAGATACAGAATAGGTCCGCATGTTACACCAGGTGGCCTCCATTTTCCCATTTTATCCCAATGCCTTCCGACACTCCTCAAGATGGCAGATCTAAACCTCAACTAGCTCGCTCCTTCTCTATCATACAAGGTCACAATGAGCAACGCTCGGAGCTCTTGGATGTTCTTTCTGATGTTAAAACGAAAGTTCAAGATCGACTGGGAATCGTCGACTTCCCTCTGCCGCAGTTTATTCTAATTGGCAAACAGTCTGTTGGCAAGTAATGATGAGGTTGAATCTGGGCTTCTGAGTAATTCTTCTCATATGTTAATTTCACACAACTGTTTTCAATCATTCTGGTATTATACCAACGCACTGCTTACATACTGTACTACTGCGACTACTATATACTGCTGCTCGTTACTACATACGAGTGATGTTTCACTTTTACTTCTGCGGGGATATTCGCGGTGCTAGAGTGAGTGAGGAGTGAGGACTTCACTTGGTAGAGTACTCACTCTCTTACTTGTTTTTTATGGTAAAAATATACTGATCGTGAAGTTTGCTATGAGTGCAATTTTTATCATAAAAAGTTTCTTCTCAATTTTGAATAACGATGATGAAAATGTGACATTCCTGAGTGGTAATGTGGACAGTGTTGGAAAATATGCACATGGTCAACTATATGTGTGTTGGTGAAAATATGGAAATTTTCGGGAAATTTTTTGATAAATTTCCGTTTATCGTGTGTATACTTCTATAAAGGGTGAGGAAACTGCTGAGCTCAGCTGAGGAGAGCGAACATATATTGTTGTACTGATTTACGGCGGCTATTGTAGCCACACCTATACTGCAGCTTGCCCTTAGGTCTCGTCTTATCGAGGCTCTTGCGGGCGAACAGTTCAATTTCGTGAGTGGCACTATGGGAAGTCGCAGACCTACTGTATTGGAATTCCGTAATGTACAACAAAATAAGAGCTCACGGTGGTATATTATGGATAAAAAGGTAATGCCTCTGCCCAGTGTGGTGGAATTTACGCATGGTCAACCACATGTGTTGATGACAATAGGAAAATTGTGAGGAAATTTTGGGGATTCCTTGTTAGTTTCTGTACAGTTATCGTATATATTATTCCAATTCGTATATAAAATCGAAAAGGAGTGAGCTAAGCTCAGGAGGGCGAACCTTTTTTTACAGCACTGTCTCTGCTGGGGATTGAACTTGTTCGCGTTGGGTCTGTCGTGCCTGAATTTTGATTATATCGCAATGGAAAAACGACAGACATGGGTGTCGAACCTGCGGCCTCAGACTAATAAGTGGCAAGAACACCCTCTCTACGAAGTGACCCAAATCATCGGTGAAGCTCACGAGTCGCTCGGTGCGACAGTCACGGATGATCCTGTGTAAGATAGTGTGTGAGAGCAAGGCATGAGTTGTCGCTTTTATTCAATTTTGTAACTGTGGGAAAAATGTTCCTAGTGTGTTGGCGTTGAAAAATCTGTTCCTAGAAGTATGGGAAATTCGAAATGAATTTCCCCTCGGGAAGATTTATAGGTTTGTGGATGATTCTCTCTCGTGGTTGGTAGTAGTTGGAGATGAAACAAAGCAAACAGGTTGAAAAACGTATGATTTTTTACTATAATAAAATTCTACGAATTTTACTGTCACGCAAGGCGAAGGAAAAATAATGAGCGATTTTTAGGCTACCATTTTATCGATAATAAAAGAAAAATATTTACAGATTTGGAATTTTCGGAAAATTCTCAATCATAGAGTCATCTCTGTTTGGTCTGGACAGTTTTTCCACGGAAATCATTCACTTGTGAATTTTCATATACTCAAAATATTTCGTAACGTCGTGGATTTTTGGAAGATTTGAAATCAGATACGTTCGCGTGGAGTCTCCATTTTGTGTGGATATGCAAATTGTCGATCTCCCGGGCTTCCGAGACTTCGCCCTGGATAAGGAGAAGCAGCAGTTGGCTGACCAGATCGATAACTTGGTAATTTCATGGCGCAGTGACGGTATTTACTACTATGGCCTCAGGTTCAAAGGTTCATGCAGGACACTCGTAATGTGATGATCTGTGTGGAGGAGGCGGGTGACGCTGCGAATCTGTCGACCTTGTCACGGTGCAAGCGGTTGGACCCGGGATTTCAAAGAACTATTCTTATAAGGTTGGAATGCTTATCGAAGGGAGTTTCCAGAGCTGATTATAGGAAATTTCACGTATGAATTTGGGTAGAAGTGCATAGGAATCAATATGATTTTTTCTCGGAATTTTTAGATTGTTGCCGACACATGTAGTTGACCATGTGCATATTTCCCCCTACATTTTTATCATGGAATTTGGTGCAGTTAGTTCGCGCGTGTTTATTATGGAATTTCGTGATAGTATATTCAACAAAATAACGACTACAAGAGACGACTTAGGAATGTATCAAACTTTCAACGAGTATTGGCATCCATAAATGTCCATCCCCGCGATGCGAATATTATCCTTTTTCGAGTGGACATCATCGTCGTTTTTGCTCACAAGTGAGCATTTGAGTGTATGCAATTTTATGGTAGCTTTCTCGTAGGCTAGGCTTCACGTGTTTAGAGAAATATATGAAATTATGTTGTTGGTGATAAAGTAAATTTTCGGTGATTTTTGTGTAGTGTTTTTTTCTTCATTTTAGGAACAAGTTGGATAAGTATTATCGAGATTTAACCGCGCAGAATGTGAATGACTGGTTAAACGGTTTTGGCGATCTTCCTGATAATCTAAGTGGGTTCGGAAATTTGCGGAAATTTGCGGAAATTTTGGTGATTTTTCTGTGAAATTTTTTTCTGTGAAGGTAAATTTTGTATGACATTACCGCATTGGAAAGATAAGGAGGAATGCCCTAAGCCGTTTGCGGAGCTGAGGGAAGATATGAATAAACAAGATGTGGCTCAGCTACGGTAGGCTGCATACTTCGCATATACCGCAACAACAGGCGCTTTGTTGTTGTGCGTGCGTGCAGAATTATTCCGGCTTGATTTCAAAGTGTATGACACAAAGGACTCTTCTGTGTGGGGAGGTTCGCGCAAGAAGCGAAACAGCTCTAAGAGATATGCACGAAAACCTGCACGATATGCTGAATCCTGTTATAATAGTACTATGGAGTTTCACAACCCGTTTTGCGTGATGTGGCGTAAAACTCGATGGAAAACGCGTAGTGTTTTTCACATCATTGGGGTTGTGAAACATCTATGTGTTGATATAAA